TGTATGCATTGCTGTATGTGTGAGCTCTGTCCCTTGTATGTACAGTGTCATACATGTGAAGATGGTATTACCATAAATTAAGGCTCCATCTTGATAAGGGCAGTCATGAGTACATCTTATCTCCCTACTGCAGCATTTTAATGTGCTTGTTCCTCATCATACCTGAAGACTGCATTACCTCTCACATGTGACAGATCCCCACCACCTGTCCAGTTTTGACTATGAGCTCCAGATCAGGCACAGTCCTGTCAAATACTGTTTCCCTAACATGCATACTCGACCCATCACACAGAAAAACCATGCAGCTGCACCCAAACAATACCCTACAATATGATGCTTGTTCTCTCTCTCTCTCTCACTATATATATATGGCACATTGATGACTTTAGTCTTTGGCACTGAAAAGTAAAACTTGGCATTGAAAATAAAATGGTAGCTGGAAAAAAAGAACAAAACCGTAACAGAAGAGCCAACATTGGCATTGAAGCATTTGTTTGGGTAAAAAAAGGACATTTAAAAAAGTATTAATATTGGAAAAATGACAATGTTCTGATTTTATTTAATTTTTATCATGAGTCTTTTCCAGTTTTTTTTTTGCTGCTGATAGTAACTATGCAGCCATGCTCAGCAGACAGAAGCCTCGCTGCGGACAGCAGCCCAGGTAAGAAGGCTGTCCTCTCCTCCATGCCAAAACAGTGACAGTGTAATTGAAAGTAAAAAACATGGGCATTGAAAAACACTTGTATCAAAAAAAAAAAAATCAAATTTGTCATTTTTTTCAGCATTAATACTTTTTTAATGCCAGTTTTTTCCCCAATACAAATGCTTCACTGCCAATGTTTATTTTTCAGTGCCAAAGACTAAAGTCATAGATCTGCTGCCATACAAATTAAAGTGATATATACCAAAGGTTTACAGGACAGAGAGTAACTTAAGTCTATTTTTGTTTTCATTATACAGGCCCTGTGGTGTGGTGTGTTGTGGAATGGCCTTCACAGTCTTGAGGGGGACGAACTGTGAGATCCAACAAACTGTCTTGAATCCAAGCTGATCTGGACAGGTTCACTGAGGGATGGAACAAACCTGCGCTCTGAACAAACTGCAACTGCACCCCAAACCAGCTGTGGGTAATTGACAGGAGGGTTGACAGGACTTTGTCCTGTCAACCCTCCTGAGAATATTGAGGTAAGATAGAAAAAGATGTAGCTGTAACATACTGGGGTTAAGCACTTTAATTTCACCATTGTTGTAAAATATGCTTGTACTTGTGGCTTAATCCTAATTTTCATACTTAATCAGAAAATGTATTTCAAAGTTCACTCCACCCTTATATGAATGTTTCATTTCAGAGGGACCACTTTCCAGATGTGGATGTGGATTATGCTGGAGTACAGGTTCTAGAACTGGTCTCTCCCCTGGAGCCAGAACAGGAGCCACTTTTTTTTCCTCTATTTTTTTTTTTCTGTTCAAGCCACACGTAATTGGTCAACTACCTGATGTGTAGTGGCCTCTGTGTGTCTGCACTGAGCAGGAGGGGAGGGGCTAACAAGAGGAACCACAAGTATCTGCTGTTTGGAGGTTCTTTGAAGAACGAGACACTACAAGAAGGAATCCCTTGGCAGATGCAATACTGGAAGTGAGATGTTAGGTAGGTAGGTAGGAAGGTAGGTAGGTAGTTTATTGATCCCTCAATGGGGAAATTTTAGTGTTTCAGCAGCAATGGAGAACAAACAACATTAACGCGATGAGAAACAAACACCACACACATATCTTGATAAACAAATTTCAGTACCTCAAGCAGCAATAGAGAATAGACAGCATAACACCATGAGAACAAGCACCGCACACACATCCTGATAAATAAATTCCAAGTACTCAAAAATAGACAGAATCAAGTATTTGAATAATCAAGAACAGAATTTACATATGTGCATATTAACCATGCATTTTACCCCAGGATTTGAGTATTGCACTTCAGTTGACTATTACATAATCCCTCATACTTTCACCTAGCTTATCCCTGCAGTGATGTATTGTACAGTCTGATTGCTGTGGGGAGGAACGACCTACAGTAACGCTCCTTCTTACACTGGGGATGTAACAGTCTTGCGCAAAAGGAACTGTTCAGAGCCTCTACTGTGTGGTACAGGGGGTGGGAGGGGTCGTGCATGATGGATGTTAGTTTTACCAGCATCCTTCTGTCCGCCACCTCCTCGATGGAATCCAGGGGGCAGCCCAGGACAGACCCAGCTCTCTTGACCAGCTTGTTTAGTCTCTTTCTGTCCCTGTCCGTGCTACCTCCTGCCCAACCCACAACAGCGTAAAAGACAGAAGATGCCACTACAGTATCATAAAAAGTCCAAAGGAGTGCCCAACACACACCACCTCAGTCTCCTCAACAAGTGGAGGTGGCTCTGGCCCTTCTTGTACAGGGCATCAGTGTT